GTTCAGGCCACGATAGCAATTTCAAAAACCATTGGCCAAAGTAGAAAGTTTCTGTATAGGTCGGGCCAAACTAAAGTATTAACCCAAAAAATAAATATTTAAAAGAGTAATATTTTTAATGTTGACCCAAAAGTGAAAGTAATTTTATGTCATTCTTAATCATTCTTTTCATAGATTTGTAATTTACAATAGCATATGGTTGATGAACTTGCATAAGGTAGAAATGTCGTCGAATAGATTATTTATGTTTAAACTTCTCTCGTGACACTATTGTTTCAATTTGTATGGATAGTAGTTGATTCTGGAGTAACTTTTGTAGAACGAAGTAGTTTCTCTGGATCTTTTCAAGAAGTATTAAAAAAAAGTTGAGTGTTTAGATGAAAACTATCAAAATTACTTTATAATATAAGAGGTCATGTAAAATGACCTGAGGATTTCTAACATAAAATATGAATGCAAATTCTAAAAATAAAAAAGTATTTAAGATAAATCACGTTATAATGATATAAATGAAAGAAAATTATGTTTTCTAGAAAAAGAATAATATATGGTAAGTAAAATTTTGTATTCAAATCGGAGCTCCTACTTTTATGTAACGAAAAAGAATAAAAAGCAAAACTTCAGAGGTGTTTGGCTTGACTTCAACTTTTGGAACATAAAACTTCTAAAATTCGGGCCAAACATAGTTGTACTCTTTTGGTTGTTTTTTTTGGGGGTTTGAGGTAATCGTGGTCCTCGTTTATAAAATTTTGAGACTGATTGCAGGATTGAGGATGTTCAACTCGCATTAATCAGGTCAAATTAGGTTGGCTACCTATGGATTTGGTTTCAATTGTCTTTCCCGATCAAAAGTAAAAAGCCAAGTGAAAAACAATAAAGCTAAAACTTGCTACCGACTCAAAACTCGTCAACACTAGGTTCAACTCGCTTTGACCAGGTTGAACCGAGTTCTGAGCAAATTCACACCCGACACAAACCGCAAATTACAAACACAGATAAAACACACTCCCGTCGAGAACTTGCAAACACCGGGTTCAAGTCGATTTGGTCGGCTCAAATTAGGTTGGATACCCATGTGTTTGGACTCAATTGTCATTCTCAACCAAAAGGAAAAAGATAAAAAAAAAATACTAAAGTGGATAAAACTTTCTCACGACCCCAAGCTCTCAACACTGGGTTCAACTCAATTGAACCGTGTCGACGCGGTTTTAACAAATTCAAAATTTACCTAAACTGTCAACTACAAAAGCGGATAAAACTCGCTCTCGATAACAATGAGGCAAAGCTCCATTGTCATTCTCAACGAAAAGGAAAATGAGAAATAGAAAAACATTAAAGTGTACAAAACTCGCTTTCGGTCTAAAACATGTGAACAACGTGTTCAACTCGCTTTGACCTAATTTTTTAACAAACTAACACTTTGTCCAACCTGTCAACTACAAAAGCGGATAAAACTCGCTCACAATACAACACTCGTCAATACCTTAGATTAATTTAGGTTCAATTCTCTTCCCAACCAAAAGAAAAAAAAAAGAGAAATTTATAAATACTAAAGTCGGTTTCAAGTCTCTTTGATTGGATCGCCAACATTGAGCAGATCTGGTATGGATAGCGGCATTGGGAGACGGTGGAGGGGACAACTTAGGATTCCGCTGACAGTTTTTTGAAAAGGTTGTGAATTGGTGAGTGATGTTAAGAATTGGATAGATCATATCTAGTATGGATCTTTGGTCGCGGCCATGGCAAACGGTGGAAGCAGACAACGCAGGATTCCACCGATAGTGTTTCGAGCCAGGTTGCGAAATAGTGCGAAAAAGCGATGATTTGGGTTCAAGTTAGGATACCCATATGTTCGGGTTCAAATGTGATCATGCTCAACAAAAATGAAAAAGAGAAAGAAAAAACACTAAAGAGGATGAAACTCGGTCTCGATACAAAACTCGTTGTAACGGCCTTGGGAAACGGTGGTGGGAACAACTTAGGATTCCGTCGACAGTATTTCGAAAAATGTTGTGAATTGGTGAGCGAAGGCAAGGATTGGACAAGATATATTTGGTATGGATCTTCGCTCGTGAACATGGGAAACGGCGGAAGAGGACAATTCAGGATTCCGCCGGCAGTGTTTTGAGATGGGTAGTGAAATGGAGGGCAAGTGTGATGATTTGTGCAAAAAGCTATAGACGAAAACCTAGTCGATAATAGTTGCAACAAAGAAACCATTGGATAATAGCTGAAAACTTAGTAGACAATAATTGTTATGGGAAACACAATGGACAATAGATCTAAACCTAGCAAACAATAGTTAAACACAAAGGTTGTAAAATGGAGAGTGAAGTAAAAGAAGTAACTTGGAACTTCTCCACTTGCAAAGATGAGTGTGAGAGTCACTAATGAATAGTAACTTACAACCTATACTTCTACATAATAATAATTAATAATTCAGGAACAAATGTAGTTGAATGAGACGGCAAGCGGGTTACACGGTCCACTGTGCCGAGATGTGAGGTGCAGGTGGTGATGATAGCTAGCCATAGTTGTAGAACCATAGCGTCTCTACGAAGAATTCTTTGCAAGTAGGAGTACATAGAGTTATAGTTGAAGCTCTAAAGAATCTGTAGGACTAAATTAAAGCAGCATAAATTCCATAGGGTATCAAGCACTCGATCTGTTGTGCAAATTTAACTACTATTTTCCACATAGTGGGTACACATTGAGGCAGATAATTAACGACAAACCAAATTCTCCGTTTCGTTACAGCTAGTAATTAAGAAAGGCCTACCTTCCAAATTCGAACAAGAAGCATCACCTTTTCAGGGCTCGAGTGGCTGTAATCATGGTAGCGAAAGTTGTTATAAATGAAATGAGCCAACCATCTTGAAGTTACATAGCATAGTGTAGCCAAGACTGCAAGCTTAGTTCTCGCAGCAGCTGACAGCATCCCTTGCGTAGTTGCTGCAACAATGCCGATTAATCCAACGGAAACGACCTTAATGATCGTTTCAGTAGCATTCAAAGCCTTGTATGCACCATTGCAACTGCTACAGTTAACCACATGGGTCCTGTACCTGAAAAGTAAGAAATATATCACGTCTGAGATAATTAATGTGTTCAAATTAAATGGGAAAGAAGAAGCTAAACCCTAGTTTCTCGATCGATCGAGTACCTGTCCATGAGTTGTTCTCTTGGTGGGGTTGGAGGAAGATCATCAGTGTACTTGCCTCTCCAGTCAATTTTGCCATCGCCATATTTGCTGAACCAATTTCTGAAACCAACCACTAGAGCATCCGACTTGATCGGCAAAAAACATGCCTTCTGCCAATTCTTAGGCCCCATTTCCTTGATTTTGCGTTCCTGTTGGCCAATTCTTTGTGCTCGGTCAATACTTTACAAATTGAAATACTAGCCCACACGAGTGTTGTATTTTTTTAATAGGGATTTTCACAGGTTAAATGCTTAAATGTTCACTAAACTGTGGTGTTGTAGCCGAAGTTTGATTGGAATAAATTTGATAAAAAAGCTAAGAGATGTCTTAAAAGGAAACATGCTATCAAAATGCATAGCCTCTCTCTCTCTCTATATATATATATATATATCCATGAGATATGAATTTAGTAACCATGTAGCCATTTACCAAAGTTCAGAAGGTCACCTCGACATGAAGAAGATACAAGTCGGAATCCAAGATTATGTTTGTTGCCATGTGAGCCATCCATCTAGGTAAAACTTTGTCCACCCAAATATCGAAGTTCCTTGGGAAGGCCCAAATGTGTCTACTATTGCCTGGACTCACAGGAACGCTCATGAAGACCAAAGCCGCCTTCCGCGGCACAGATTCCTGGAGTACAACACCAAAGACCACACGGTGGATTCTCAAATAGTTGTCATACCAAATTCCCAACTCAGTTGTAGTGCTCACAATGTTTTCCGTTGTTGGATCTGGGGTTGTTGTCGTTTTTCGAGTCCAATAGATGTGGTGAGTGGTGACATTTTTATACATCAAATATCATTACATCTATTAAATGATTGTGTAACATCCACCCGTAATTTAATGAACGTTATGAGCACGTTCTCACATACGCTAAACGAACATAACATCAAAATTGCCCAATTCTAGTTGACCGCTACAATAGTATATGATGTGCAATTTTATTAACTTGCCTTATTGTTTCCGGCAGGTGTTGTAATACGATAAGAGAGGAAGCAGGGTGGCTTGAACTGAATGTAGCCGAACCCATCTGCATCAAATCCTTCTATCCCTTGTGTCTTCACTATAAAATCAAGTGGTCTTCCCCCTTCTCTATCGCGCATGTCTGAGCCCAAACAATAGAAAGAAAGACTTTCGGCTTGAATTCCTTGAAATTAGAAAGGAACTAAAAGCATGTAATTAGTACGATGAAGTGGCCGTGGGAAACCAGGATTTACCCTTAAATGGTTGTGTTGATCCGAGCTTGAAATGCGCATAGGGAAGATGGGCAGGGTCCATGAGGTTTTCTATCAATACCTCATACCTACATATGAACGCAAGAAGAGAAAATCTTGATTAAAATTCAAATTTATTTATTTTCAATACCATGTTTGCCCTTTTGGAAAATTTTCACCTTCTCTCTTGCTTGATCTAATAATTAGTATTGACTTGAAAACTTTATCAAATATAAGTTTAAGGACGGGGCCGTCCCCTGTTGGAACGACAATAACCATAGATTATTACCATTTGGTATCAATGTGAATCCTACCGTATTAATTAAGTACTAGATTTTTGGTCCGCGCTTTGCAGAGGTAAAAAACTAAATATTTAAACTTCTTCAACTCATTCAATGATTAGTTTAGAAAAAAAGTTTGGGTAAGATACATTCATAAGTTGTACGTAATTGATACATAATAAATATCTATCTAAAAGAGGTTTACGTAATGTATAAATAATATAAGTAACTATTTAGAATGGTGTTAATTCCTATATAAAATTTTCATAATGTGTGGTCTAATAATAAAATCGAGTCACGGAAAATTATCACATTTGATTAAACTACTACGTAAAAGTTAACATGCCTTATGGAACTTTTGCGTAATGCAATCTATGAGATGGTGAATATTAAAGAAATTTTAGTTAATAATAAATAATTAAATTATAAAAAATATCACATTTGATTAACCGTTATGTAAAAATAAGGGACCTTATAAAACCTTTTGTGTAATACAAATTGATGAGATGATCAACTATTTAGTTAATAGTAAATACATTTTCATTAAAACTAATATTGCTGAAGTTACATAATATGATTTTTTTAATTTGTACATATAATAAATTACTATCCCTCCGTACGATTTACTTTATTATGAAGACTTCCCGTATTACTTTTTGTTTTATTGATACATTAGAAATCACTATCTCTATGTAAAATTGAGGATGTATTTGTAATTTACGTATTTTTCATAGAACAATGTTACGTTAATATTATTGGTCTAATAATATTAAACTACAATAATGGACTTTACAATTGGCATGGCAATGTGGTAGAATTTGGGAAGAGATCATGCAGAAAACTCCAAATGAACTTAAATAATGAAATAGAATTTGGGAAAAGATCATGCAGAAAACTTCAAATGAACTTAAATAATGAAATAGAATTTGGGAAGAGATCATGCAGAAAACTCCAAATGAACTTAAATAATGAAATAGAATTTGGGAAAAGATCATGCAGAAAACTTCAATTAGAAAGAAACCCTTTTGTGTAATTCAGTAGGATGCATCCGGCCGTAGGTTGGCATATGGATTAAAAAAACATAATAAATGTGATGAACAGTATTTTATGGGTTAAGAGTTTTTTTCATAAGGAATAGTAAAATTAGTAACAGATAACTTGTGCTTTTAATATATTAATTAATTTATTTCTTTCTTCAATACTACTATTTTCTTACTATATGCAAGATCTTCTAATCAGATTGTTTATTTATATGAGAAAAAACACAGACCTACACATGCTCTTTACACACCTTCTGCCCTGAGAGATCCTACTCCTAGATAGAATATTCTACACTCCGGCTTTATTGCTCAACTGATGTCAGTGTTCGTGTGACTTTCTCTTATTATTTGTTTATTTATTTTTATATACGTCTATGCATAATCGTCTAACTTAACTACCTGAAAGCTAAAATCCCATAAATTTGAATTTATGATAATATTTAGAGCTAATACCAGTAGAAAATCTTACTTTGTGTCATAAAGTATCTAATGTGTCCCAACTTATTACAGTTTTGTGTCATTTTACGTTATAACAATTTTGTTTACCATTTTTTTTTTGTTAAGGATGATATAGATTAAAATTATTCTGAAAATACAAGGATCAACAGGACAGAACAAAGCAAGAAACGAACGCAAAGGAGGATAAAGGGAAAGAACAGGGGAGAGAACCAAAGACTAAAGAGGGACAAGGAGGCCCTGGACAGAAGGAAAAGGAAGAAAAAAGAAAGCAAACAACTACTGCTTCAAACGTCACACTGGAGGGCTCTTCACGACCTGGGAATCAATTTGCTCTTGAGGGTCAAAACCCAGGCTTCGACCACTTGCTTGTCGACTTTTCCTGCTGCGGACACCCAGCTGGCAATAAGGCAGCCAGTTCGGAAAGCTGTGACTTGAGGGAAAACAGCTTCCCCCTTGAAGACTCTGGAATTTCTTTCCATCCAAATTGACCAACAAAAAGCGTGTAAGAAGACCTTAGTGCACCACTGCCAAGGGCTGGATGGGTTTTGACAAAACCACCGCATGATCCTTGTTGAGATATCGTCATTGTCAACGGTAGTGCTTGCAATCCTGACGAATGAACGCATCCTCCACCAAACTTCCTTTGAGAAGCTGCAATTAATGAACAAATGATTCGGGTTCTCCTCCGCCTTTTCACAAAGGGGGCATCTGCTTGGTAATTGAATTCCCCGCTTCTTGAGATTGTCACGAGTGAGGAGTCTTTTGTGGAACACGATCCAGAGGAAGGTGCAGATTTTGCTTGGGATTATCTTCTGCCACACGACCTTGAAGGGGAAGTCCTCGACTCCGAAATGCCTGTCTGCTCTCAAGTGATCATATGCCGACTTCACGCTAAAGCCTGCAGAAGCATCTGGCAACCAAGTCACCCTCTCAGGACCTGCAGTAAAATTAATAGAAGGAATAATTTCGAGTAAGTTCATTAAGCACTCTCTCTCCCTCTCTGCCCCCCCACGAAGAGTAAATTTAAGAGGAATATCCCACAATATGTTTCCACCCACAGAAGACAGGTGATCAGCGACACGGGAACTCGGGAAGACAGCAGCGGCCATCACTCTCGGGAACTTCTCCGCCAAGCAAGGACCTTCGACCCAATGATCATGCCAAAAGGAAGTCCAACAACCACTGCCTTGTTCAATGCGCGCCATTTTCCAAAAGGTATGCTTCAATTTCAATATCTGCGACCACGGACTACAACCGGCACTCCCGACACAGTCACCAGACGACCATTCTGACGAGGCACTAGGGAACTTTAAACATATGAGCTCTCTCCACCAGGACTCCCTTTCACTAGAGAATCTCCATAACCATTTCAGTAGAAGGGAGTGATTGTGAGTTTCTAAATCGCGGATGCCTAGGCCGCCTTTCTGTTTCGGAATCTTGCAAACGTCCCACGAGATTAGATGGATCTTCTCCTTGTCCATCGATCCTGACCAAAGGAAATCCCTCTGAATTTTTTCCATTGCATTCACAACGCCTTTAGGAGCAGGGAAGAGGGAGCAGGAATAAGTGCTTTGACTGGACAATACAGCATTAATCAAAACCACTCTACCGCCGAGAGAAAGAAAACTTCCCTTCCAGCTTTCAAGCCTGTTCCGCAGTTTACTGATCACAGGGTTCCAAATAGCTGAGGAAAAAACGGGGGCACCCAGTGGTAATCCGAGATACGTCGTTGGGAGAAACTCCCAATCACAGCCGAGTACTTGGCTAAGTCTGCTGATATTTGGAACATCACCGACAGGGAAAATCCTTGTTTTGCTAAGGTTTACTCTGAGTCCCGTAATACACTGAAAACATACTAGAGCAGCCAAAATGTTCAGGACCTCCTCTTCCCTATCGTCACAGAAAATTATTGCGTCGTCAGCATACAGAAGATGGGTAACAGCCCCCCGCCGATTCGTCTCATCAATGCGGAAACCGGTTAACAAGCCAGCTTCCTTAAGTTTGTCAATAATGAAAGAGAGGATATCCATTCCCAGGTTAAAGAGAAAAGGTGAAAGGGGATCACCCTGCTTCACACCTTTTTGCATACCAAAAAAACCCACAGCCTCTCCATTAATCAAAACTGAAACTCTAGCTGACGAAACGACACCCTCAATCCATTTTCGCATGCGAGGGTGGAGGTCCATTTTGTTTACCATTATAGATAACGGTTGTCCAGACGATGATCAACTTGACATTGACTTTTGCTGACGTGGCAAAAACGTGAGTACCACATAGATGCACGTCACTGACACCTAATATTTTTATTAAAACTAAATAAAAATAAAAAATAAACATAATAAAAACTCTCAATATTATTATCTACTTCGCCTCTTTCTCTTAAAAAAGGGCGACCAAGCCGGAACATGGACAATTTCGATGAAATTCCCGATCTCCGACTTCACTTCCTTCGTCGCCGTAAACCCCCTAAGCCACAAGCCCAATCTTCTATTCCTAGTTCCTATTTAGATGATGATGATGATGAGGCTGCTGCTGTTGAAAAGGGAATTCAGGATTGGGATTGGTGGTTGCTGTGGTAGCTGCCGTGGGAGGGTTTTGGTGGTAGATCGGGATCCCGCGAATCACCCTCAAGAAACACAGCTCCTGGCTCAGCAATTGCTGGCTGTGGTGCTGATTAATTGGGTAGTGGTTGTTTGGGTAGTGGTAGAAACTTGTAGGGTAGTGATGCAGGTGGTGGTGGAAACCTCCATTACTGTTTCCATGGTGGTTTAGATTATTGGAATCAGAGAGTCGGGGATTGGAGAGAGAGAGGGGTCGAAGTTGGTGGTGGTGGGGTTTCTGGAGCATGGTCCATGAAACAAAAGCGTACCGGCGGTTCAATCACGAAAAACTAATATTAGAGGCTAAATTGGTAGGCGGTATTTAACGGTCTAACGATTGAACTACGGTTAAATCACGATTTTATCATAAAATATTATACCGTTGATTTTTCCGGTACGATATCCGATACGATTTCATGGACCATGTTCTAGAGAGTCGAGGGCTCGCTTCCAGAACCCACCCAAATCGGCGGCGTCTTCGTCGGATACCTCCCTCCCTCCCTAGTCCCTAGTCCCTAGATAAATCTCTCCAACGCCAAACAACCACCAAAACACGATTTTTCAATACCCAAATGTGATCTCAATTTCCCCCCAAATTCTCATTCCAAAACCCTAGATTTCTGAATTGTTCTTTCCTTCGCTAACCGGAGAGGGTTGCTGTGGTACTTAAACTATGTTTGTACACCTTTCAATACTTTGTTATCTCTTTCGTGTATAATACATTTTATGAAAAGCTTAACTTGTATACATAAGCTAATTTTGGAATTGAACACTAAATATTTTATAAATAATGGTTATTCATTGCGTAAGTAATATATGTTTCTAAGTGACGACACCACTAAATAGAGAAATATTAACTCTTGGCTAAATCGATAAAATGACTCATGGTCTTAATGAATTTTTACAAAGGTTTTATTTTGTCTTTTTGAAATGGTGGTTTCACTAGTTTGTAAAGTATTAGTGCATGAATTTATGTGAAGATTTAATTAATATACTCAAAATAATGATTGATACAATTTACATAAATCGAAAACTTTTGGGTTTGAGCTAACCTTCAAATGAATGATTTATAATATTTGAACTAACCACCAAAGTGTTGCGCATATATACCAAGAATTTTTACTTGTATAAACTTTCAATTTATTTGAAAATTAAGATATAAAATTCTTATAAAGATGTGATAGTGATACAATTGGAATCTTGATATAGCCGACAATTTTTATTTCTTTTTCGGGCCGGTTATATATCAACAAAAACAGAGCATCAGAATTCCCTTCTTTTCATTTTCTGTTTTATTGAGTTTATATATATATATGGCGAATCTTTCAATGTTTTTCCGTTTAAATCTAGAGAAAATTAACGTTACCCGTAAGGGAGATCTCGGCTCCCCATCACCGTAGTGAATGAGGGATCATCCAACTCCGGGAAGTAAGGAGGTTTCTCCTTCTCAAAGATGTCTTTGTACTGAGGATCCGAGTTGGGCCAAAACCACACCATTTCATGATGCACAATTGTTGGGTAAGCTGCAACACATGCCCTTTTGCTTGTCTGGACCTGCAATTTTTGTTCATCCGAACATTGATTGAGATCCGCTGTTCACGAAGAGAAAGTATGTATGATCGAAGCAAGCAAACTAACTACTTACCGGAGGACCACCGGCAGGGGCTTGAGGGATGAGCTTGCAGTTTCCCGAGCCATCAAAACACCAACCGTGATAAACGCATTGCAGCCTTCCCGCTGGATCAATCCTCCCTTCGGACAGCGGAGCCAAACGGTGTGGACACATATCGTCGAACACCTTCCATACGTTCTCGTTCCTGTCCCACCACACCACCACATCCATCCCCAGCACCATCAGAGCACGCGGGACCTTCTTGTCCAAATCGCACACCGGCATCAGCGGGTACCACTGGGAGTACCAGTCGAACTTCTCCTCGGATCTTGATCTTTCGGTGACCTGGGCGGTGACCTCAGCTGCTTCAAGCGGTACATGATGATCCGCGGATACAGGGGAGGAGAAGAGCTTGAGTTTTGAGAGCGCCCTGCTGTGAAGTAATGGGAGGAGAATGGAGCCAAAATTTGAATAATTATTGGATCTGCACAGTTGGGCATGAATGAGAGTCTTTGGGGAGTGAAGACATGGAAGAGATGCGGAAACTGCGAAAGCTTTCATGGCTGCTACTCTGCTTGCTGTTGTGGTCCTTCTTTTGGGAGGGGTAGATCTAAGTTATAAAGAGGAAGGGAAAGGCACTGTTGGTCAGCAGTATCATTTTCGTTTCCTGCAATTTTAAAAGCCAAAAACTGGATGAGATCGATGTAATATTATAATGACGTGCAATTTTTTTTTTTTTTGCAATACTTCAAAACATATTAAATATATGTCATTTTATAAAAGCCAAAAATTGATTTTTATGCAATATTTGTTAAATATGATATTGATAAAATGGGTGAGAGATTAATAGAATTTATTGCCGTCTGAAAATGATTTGTGTTAGTAGAGGTGACAAATAAATTGGATCAATGGATTGATAGATTCGTGGATCAAGTGGATTAGATCTAATAGATTAGTGAATTCATGGATTTGTGTATTGATCAATGAATCCAAATGACACCCAATGCTTGGACAAGAATGTAAATTTTGAAAAATTGAGGTACTAAATGCCATAATAAAAAATTTAGATATTAATACATAAATTTTCAATGACATTTTTCGTCTATGAAAATAAATTTTAGGTACCAAAGTGTAAAATATAAAAAACATTTCTATTAAATAGTAATTTGATATTTGAATTAAATGGATTGAACTAGTTGGATATTTAAATAAATGAATTACAATGAATTAAATTAGTAGATTAGATTGAGAATTGTCACGTGTGTAGCGGTTGTACCAAATGATAGCGTCCCTCTGCAGACTGCAAACCCTCTCCGTTAGATTGTGCTCAGCCAATGGGTGCTGACTCACATGTGAATATGTAATGAAGTTCTTTGGTTCATGGTGATCCCAACTTCCGGCCAGCAATTTGATAATAAATAAAAACAATTCAGCCGGCTGTTTCTCTTCTTTTCTACACTATGCTAGTGTTGCTATCTGTTTGTTTGTGTAAGATCCTAGCGCTATTATTGCCATGTTTTTATTTGTGTAAGATCCTATACGGCTGGACATTATTTTTATTAAAATATCTTTAAAAATTGATTAACATTAAATTATGGAAGAAATATCTGTAGTAAATAAAACAGTAGGTATAAAAGGTAAACAAAAATAGGGTGGGCACTGACGGGTACCTAGTCCTGTTTGTAGATTAAAGTCTATCCCATGTCCCAAACCTATATAGATAAACAGGTACCCGTTATCCGTACGGCAAAGACAATGGATACCCATACTACCCAATTCCAATTCCAATTGGCACGTTGCTGGGTGTTCTGCAAGTGCAATTTGCTCATTCCAATTCCCTGACCCCCCTCGCACGCGACAGCTGTAACCTGCAAAAATAGATAAATCAAAAGGATGACAACCTTATGCAATGACCTGAGTGCCGCGATGATTGGAGAGTTCAGCGGAGATGAGAACTCTGATTGCCGCGGCTGGGTGGAACGATGGCTGGGCCGGGCTACGGAGATTCTGATTGCCACGAAGAGGAGAATTGATTTTGGTCAGAGAAGTGGAGGCAAGCTGATGAGCGCTGGCTACGCGGTGGTGAGAGCTGGAGATGAGTCTCACTTGTCTGTGATATGTCGACAAGGGAATTAGGGAAAGGGAATAAGGGTTCTTGTTGGGCTTGGGCTGGTCGTGACCTGAAGGAAGACAATTGTATAATGAAACAGGCTTTGTGCCTTTCATTTTCAGCTTTTGTATAATGAACAGGTTTAACAGGTACCCATATTATCCAAACGGGTATTTGCGGGTAACTCGCGTGTACACATTGTAGGAATATACAATCCCAAGTCTCATCCGTTAATAATATTATGGGTATTATGGGTACCTGTAACCCTAAAAAAATGCGACGGGTACGGGCATACCCAAATACCCGTTACTCGTTGCCCACCCCTAAACAAAAACCTGGAGTACTTTTTTTGACAAAAGGTAATCATATATTTATCAGACAAGAAGACAATTACATCCTGGTATTCAGCCAGGCCTGAAAATCAAAGCAACGACACGTAGTCGGGTACAAAGACATTGCCTTTCTAATTACCAAATGAGCTACCCTATTGCTACTCCGACCAACAAATCGCACACCGAAGCCCAAATTCATAGAGACCAACTGCACAACCTCTTCATGAATAGCCCACACCTGACTATCCCAAGTATTAGTCTGATTGATCTTATCAATAACCATTTTGGCATCACCTTCAAATCGCATCTCCAAAAAACCATGACCCAAACAACAAGAGACTGCCTTCCGGAGGACCGATAACTCCGCCACCATTAGATCATCAACCAATGAAAACTGAAACCCTTTAACCCATAGTATCTCCCTAGTGTGATTGAGGATAACAATCCCTCCCGCCGAATGAGAGCCACTCCGAACTGCCTCATCCCACATACATAATGGCACATCTGGCCCAGCCAGACCCACAGAGGGTGGATGCGGACTAGGCATTTGGAGGGATCGGTAAACCTGGAGTTGGATCCATTCCTCAATCTGCTAGTGATATTGCCGCATTAAGGAGGGGATCCTGAACTGTTTACCCTCAAAGACAACCCAGTTTCGAGACCGCCATATTCTCCAAAGGACACTGATCACTGCCATGAGCAAGGTGGGTTGATGTGTGATGGACATTAGTGTAACACCCTAACCCGGCCGGGTACTACTTATATTAAAAGGCCCTTGAAAAATAAAATACTCAAATCTTAAATTGCAGCGGGAAAAATATATCATAAATAAAATGGGTTAATTGTATGGTTGGTCACTGAGATTACAAAAAAGACTCATGTTTGGTCACTGAAAATAATTAATTCTATTGGTGGCCATCATAATTAAGTAAACAGTCCAAATTTGGTCACTCTCCGTTAGTCTTCGTCCGTCTCCGTTAACACAGTCAGTTTTTTGCTGAGGTTGCTAACAGAATCCTCTAATCAGCCTAATTTGACCCCGAAATAATGAAACCGAACCCGCCCCATCATTAAAACTCGCCATGTCACCTTGTCCAACCCAATCCTTGAACCAACCTGACCTATTAACCGACTCACTCAAAAGAATAATATTTATCATATTTTCCTTTCCTGATTAGAAATCCATCTTCCCTCTGCTTTTTGTCTATTTTTCTTCTCAGAAACCAATACCTAGAAAACCAAAAGAACTCCAAATTTCCAGATCCCGTTCTTCCCAAACCCAATCCCGGCAAGAAACTTGCCCACTTTTTCAAACCCAATCCCGATGACAATCTCGGCCACCCAATCCCTACAACAATCCCGGTTATAGATCTTCTGCCTAAGAATCCTAATTCTGCCGCCCAATCCCGGCGACAATCTGAGGACTGGATGCGGCGCTCGAGTTCTTCGTTTCTTCCGGCGGCTCTGGGTTCACTGTCATCTCGCATCTGGAGGCCTGGAAATCGGAGAGCTCTGGCGAGGACTTGGGACAGGGATCGTTTATCCGGACGTCGTGAGGAAGAAAGCGATTTCCCACCTCGCCAAACCCTTTGCGCCGTCATATCCGTTGTCTGGGAGGCTGCCACGGAGCTGAGCTCGTCAAAACAGTTCAAACCGCCACCAGGCTTGATGTTTCCGTTCTCTCTGAGAAAGCGGAGGCGAGATTCGCCTACTCCGACTGTTACCGCCACCACCGAGCTCAGCCCGTCATTCACATCTGGACTTCGATCTAGAAGGAAGCAATGCAGCGGCAAACTTTGCTTTGGTGTTGAGGGGCGATCTGCCGGCGTCGCTCGCTAGCAAGGAGTGGCCCACCAGCGGATTTGGAAGGTAGGTGGCCGACTTGGGGTGTCGACTCGGCGAATGACTCAGTAATAACTAATAAATGCAGAGATCGTTTTCTGTTATATCTTCCTGTTTCAAATACGTCGTGGTCGGGCAAACTAGAAATGAAGTTGGGTTGTCGACGTTAAGGGGAACTCGGGGAATGGCAAAAAACAGTTTCGAGGTCCAAGATCGTTGTAATGGTGGCGGGTTGGATATAGGATATGGAGAGGGAGAAGGTTGGATTCTTGACGTGAAGGGGAACTCGGGGAGAGGAACAGTCAAGTAACGGGGTCGAGTCAGGGGTTTGGTTGGGTCTTTAGTGAGTTCGAAGTGAAGATTATTCTGATGTGACGGTAGGTTTCTATATTTTTAGGATTAATATTAAGTGACTCAGCATTTTGTTAAGCCACGTCAGCAAAAAGTTGACGGTGCTAACGGAGACGGACGAGGACTAACGGAGAGTGACCAAATTTGGACTGTTTACTTAATTATGATGACCACCAATGGAATTAATTATTTTCAGTGACCAAACATATACGTTTTTTGTAATCTCAGTGACCAACCATATAATTAACCCTAAATAAAATACTGAAAATACACACTTGTAGTTCAAGCAACTCCCTAACACGTGGGCAAATTAAACTCAAACTTTAAAATCTCAATCTAATCTCCAGTCTATACTCATAATCATACATCGTAATAACTAACTAGTCACAACAACTGTTGCTGCTCCTAGGAAACTCTGACTAGACATCCTCCAAGACGCTGGTATCGTCCTCCTCTAGCTGGCTTCCCACGAACTGTTTCTCTGGATCTCGCTGCTCCATAACTGCTCCTCCTCTTCCTCTTTAAACTGGTGAGTGAGTTGGGGCCAGTCTACGCCCTTACGATTTAAACTTTCTACTTGTTAGCACTTTACTTAAAACACTTAATTAAATTGGTGGAAGTTGTTGGTACTTCCACTCTTAAAAAATCTTAAAACTATATGAGAGCTAAATTTACTCTCCCTTCTTAAAGCTCAAATCTTGACTAAAACTTTTGACTGACACTGGGATCCCTTACTTGCTAGTCTGGTTGCCCAACTCATACGTATGAGAAGCCCTCCAGAGTTTCCTTAAACTTAAACTTACCGTGGAAGGCTCTTCCTCCATGATTCTGAAGAGCATAACTGTTGCTCATCTTAAAAATATCAAAAGCATAACTGTTGCTCATCTTAAAAGTCTCAAGAGCATAACTACTGCTCTATCTCAAAATCCCAAATGGCAACGGTTTGACGCTAGTGACTTAAACTCTTAAAACGGGTTCACCTTCTTGAAGGTGAAGTAGTTCTTAAAAGAGAACTTGTTTGTTATACTTGAACTTACTTGTAGGTAAAGCATGCAATAACATAAAAATGAAAGCATAACTCACACAAACTCACATGGCATCATACAAAGTCAAGTATGGCACATAGCATTCAATCTTAAAAACTTAAACACCGTAAGGCATAGAATTTACCCCCTTTACACTCACCTTAATTAGATATTCCCGATTTGAATGAATGTTCAACTCGTCGTCCTTTGATAACTCATCCAACTGTACCTCCATATAATCTCTACAACCGTTATAAACAAGTTAATCTCTTAACCTCAAATCTTGACTTCAACTCTACACAGGGCTAAATAATTTGGTAACAATCCTAGGATGGGTATTTTTATACCACGTGGACCCTTCTTCACACTTTAAATCTACTTCCCACTTTAATCCCCACCTAAATCCTATATCTCTGCTCCTAAGTATTAACCCATCTCTTCCTACCTCCTTTGTCATTTACCAAGATATATACTAAAGAAACCATTCTTAAGCTCAACCGCAAAGGTAATCGTTAGCTTTCATTCTTAACATGACCATGTCATTAACCGCAATTTAAGGGTCGATCGTGTTGTATAACACAGCTGCTTCACCATAAAGCTAGACGACGTCAGATTCATCAAAGTGGTGCGTATCAAACAAAGAACAAAACACAGTGCAGCTACACCAAACTACGTAGTTCTAAGCAGCTTGTCCATCAAAGTCTTCCATCGAGGATCTTCTTCATCAGATCCTTTCCACTCTTGCTCGACGACCTTTTCATTTGCTCGACAACCTTCTCGTGTTTCATCAAAGGGCGATGCCTCTTCCAAGCCACCTCCCCACCTCGAGATCATGATGACGGATGACCGTTCTTTCAAATCCTCTCTCAAGAGCCCAACAGGTCTTTACAATGGTCACTAAGTACTTCTGCCTATATATTCTAGGGTTTGTAGTACAATTAGAAATTGGCAGTTTGCAATAGAAGAATATGAGAGTGTCTTCTATTATATTGGATCCAGTTTGTTGCATCATTAGATTAATCACAGTGTTTGTAATCTGGGTGATCTATTCGTGGGAAGTTGTCTGTGTGTTTGTCAAAGAGCCAATCCGTTGGCTTGGCTCTGGATCTTTTTCTTTGTAATCTTCCTTCAATATATATAAAATTGTTCCTTTCTAAAAGGCTGCTTCATCCTGGAGAATCCTTGTTTGAATTGAGAGTGTTTTACCCTGCAAAACCAAGTATCCTGCTGCTTTCTGAGTTCTCAATTGGTATCAGAGCAAGTTCTTTGCTGGATTAACTATCACCAAAGAAGATCAGTAAAATGACTGGGTCTTCATCAACATCTACATCCTATTCTGCCAACACAAACCCTCCATGGTTTGATGGGACAGACTATTCTGTCTGGAAGAAGAGAATGAAGATCTACCTAAGAGGAGTTGATGGAGATCTATGGAGTATTGCTCGAAAAGGACCAGTCCCCATGGATGATGATGATGATGAAGAGAAATGGGAAGATGAGCAGAAGGTATCCTCTCAACTTGACTCAAGAGCAATGCATCTTCTTTTCTCGGCTCTTTCACTTGAAGAAAGGAACCAAGTGGCACAATGCGAGTCTGCCAAAGAAATTTGGGAGTCGTTACAAGCCACTCATGAAGGTACGTCAGAGGTAAAAGAAAGTAGAATTGATGTGCTATTAAATGAATACGAATCCTTTGAAATGAGTTCAGGATAATCCATTTCCAGTATGTACAAGAGATTTAATGATCTAATAAACAGGTTAAAGGGACTAGGAAAAGTGTTTACTACAAAGGATCTAGTTAGAAAATTTTTAAGAAGCCTACCTAGGGAGTGGCTTCCCAAAAGAATTGCTATAGAAGAGGCAAAGGATTTAAATATTCTATCAATTGAAAGGCTAGTGGGATCACTCCTTAGTCAAGAAGAAGTAATCACTCAAATGAACAAACATGTTGTTCCTGATTGTCAAAAAGAGTCAGAAATAATATTCAGGTATCCTAGTAAGTTCTCTGCTAATAAAACCAGAAAGTATCCAGTTGTTTATACATGCTCTCATTGTAAAGAAAAGGTCACCTGGTAAAGTTCTGCTATGACTTGAGAAAACCAGTTGTGTATAGATCATTTTGGGTACCTAAGTGTACTAACCTATGAGTTATTGCAGAATCTGGGAGAAAATGAGGACATATGGTTTCTGGATAGTGGTTTCTCCCACCACATGATAGGTAAAAAAGAATTATTTTCATGTTTAAAGTACAAAAAGGGCGGTAAGGTAGTTTTTGGTGATGACCGAGTTGGAATAATCATGGGAAATGGCACAATAGGAAAAAGTCATTTCCCAACAATTAAAGATGTTCTTTTTGTTAAAGGTTTAAAACATAATCTTCTTTCCATAAGTCAATTGTGTAGTACCGAGAACAGGGTAGTATTTGAATCTTCATCTTGCCAAATAATTAGGGTGAAAGACAATAAGCTACTGTTCAGCGGAACTAAGAAAAATAACATGTATGTTGTTAATCTAAACTATCTTAAAACATTCAATGAAACCTGTTTTCAAGCTACCTCACATGAACTTGAAATGCTATAGCATAGAAAATTAGGACACATGTCTTTCAAAACTATCAAAGTTGTCTAAAATGAAATCTGCCAAATGAATTCTTGTTTTAAAAGAAAATTCAAAGTTCTTCTGTGATGCATGTGTTGGTGGTAAAAAGAGTTTTAAGTCAAAAGTGATATAACCACCACTGAACTTCATATGGACCTCTTTGGACCGACAAATGTGGTAAGTCTTGGAGGTAAGTCATAAGCTTTTGTCTTGGTTGATGATTTCTCTAGATAGACTTGGGTTTATCTTCTGAACAATTTGGTGAGCTATGTAATGATAGAGGGATAAATCATACATTTTCTACACCTAGGATACCTCAGAAAAATGGTGTGGTGGAAAGAAAGAATAGAACTATAAAGAAACAACCAGGACGATGCTTTTGGAGTATGGATCCCCCAAATTTCTTTGGGGAGAAGCTGTCATGACAGCTGTCTATACAATAAACAAAGTTCTAATAAGAAAAACTTTAAACAAAACACCTTATGAAGTTTTAAAACAGAAAACACCAAACATAGGATATTTTCATACTTATGGATGCAAATGCTTTATCCTAAACACTAAAGACCATCTGTATAAGTTCGATGCTAAGTCTGACCCAGCTATTTTTCTAGGATATTCTACCAAGGGACAGGCCTATAGAATATACAATCTCAAATCCAAAAGAGTAGAGGAATCTGTTTTTGTCAAATTTGATGAATCAATGAATGCTGACAAGGTTAATGTAGAAAGTGTAGATTTCTTATTCCCTGTGACAAAGGAAGTGGAAGAAAATCCAGGAAAAGAGGAAACTTTATTGAAAGGGACAAAAGACGATAAAAGAGAAGACATGAGCTCTGATGAAGAAAATAATGCACTAGGTTATATTCAGAAGAGACATCCTCCATCTCAAATCATTGGAGGGCTTCACGACAAGATGCACACCAGAGGTAAGTACAACCCAGGTCAGTATGCCTTTATATCCTTACTAGAACCCAAAAATTACAAAGAAGTTTTAACTGATGATGAATGGATACATGCTATGCA